GAAAAATCTGTTTTTCCAAAATGAAACAATCCTGTATAACCAAATTGTTCGCTCTTGCTTGACACGAACCTTCTATTTTACAATTCAACAACAATGTGACAATACTTGGACCTAAGACGATATCAACAAAGAACAAAAAGTTTCATTTCATTCCGTTGGAAGGTTCGTACCTTTGTGCTAGAAACTCATGAAGGGTGAATGTGTCAGTTTTAAACAGCGAGTATTTAACAATTGTTGAAAAATCTGTTTTTCCAAAATGAAACAATCCTGTATAACCAAATTGTTCGCTCTTGCTTGACACGAACCTTCTATTTTACAATTCAACAACAATGTGACAATACTTGGACCTAAGACGATTTCAACAGAGAACAAAAAGTTTCATTTCATTCCGTTGGAAGGTTCGTACCTTTGTGCTAGAAACTCATGAAGGGTGAATGTGTCAGTTTTAAACAGCGAGTATTTAACAATTGTTGAAAAATCAGTTTTCCCAAAATGAAACAATCCCGTATAACCAAATTGTTCGCTCTTGCTTGACACGAACCTTCTATTTTACAATTCAACAACAATGTGACAATACTTGGACCTAAGACGATATCAACAAAGAACAAAAAGTTTCATTTTATTCCGTTGGAAGGTTCGTACCTTTGTGCTAGAAACTCATGAAGGGTGAATGTGTCAGTTTTAAACAGCGAGTATTTAACAATTGTTGAAAAATCAGTTTTCCCAAAATGAAACAATCCCGTATAACCAAATTGTTCGCTCTTGCTTGACACGAACCTTCTATTTTACAATTCAACAACAATGTGACAATACTTGGACCTAAGACGATATCAACAAAGAACAAAAAGTTTCATTTCATTCCGTTGGAAGGTTCGTACCTTTGTGCTAGAAACTCATGAAGGGTGAATGTGTCAGTTTTAAACAGCGAGTATTTAACAATTGTTGAAAAATCAGTTTTCCCAAAATGAAACAATCCCGTATAACCAAATTGTTCGCTCTTGCTTGACACGAACCTTCTATTTTACAATTCAACAACAATGTGACAATACTTGGACCTAAGACGATATCAACAAAGAACAAAAAGTTTCATTTCATTCCGTTGGAAGGTTCGTACCTTTGTGCTAGAAACTCATGAAGGGTGAATGTGTCAGTTTTAAACAGCGAGTATTTAACAATTGTTGAAAAATCTGTTTTTCCAAAATGAAACAATCCTGTATAACCAAATTGTTCGCTCTTGCTTGACACGAACCTTCTATTTTACAATTCAACAACAATGTGACAATACTTGGACCTAAGACGATATCAACAAAGAACAAAAAGTTTCATTTCATTCCGTTGGAAGGTTCGTACCTTTGTGCTAGAAACTCATGAAGGGTGAATGTGTCAGTTTTAAACAGCGAGTATTTAACAATTGTTGAAAAATCAGTTTTCCTAAAATGAAACAATCCCGTATAACCAAATTGTTCGCTCTTGCTTGACATGAACCTTCTATTTCACAATTGTTGTTGTACCTATTGAAATAATAAAAAGGGTTCATATTAATATATACCTACTTTTAAATGCGTTGTTTTTGAGATATAGGGGGTTGAAAATACGAGTCTGAATATTATTTTTTGATGAAAAGTTCGAAACGGTTGGAGATAAATCAACAAAATTGATCAGATACTAAACTTTTTACGCTCTATAAGATGAAACAGTGAACACAGCACTCTTGTTATAATCACACTTAAATATTATTATCGAACTGAAACTGTTCTGAACCGATTTAACTCGAAAACGGCGAAACGCATCTAAAACTCACAAGTGAGCTTTTCCTCGCAGAGACCTAAGTTTTTTCAGGTTTTGATATACAAATTGAGGAAGAAATGCACATATAAAAATTGGGGTGATTTTTCTCTTCACCACCCTCCGATTCAGCTACCACTGATTTACTTTATGAAATAATTTTTATTTCCTCACAGAAGAAGCGTGAACAGTTTAGTATCTGTGAGAAATTTATTTGATTTATCTCAAACCATTTGGAACTTTTCATCAAAAAACAATATTCAGACTCGTATTTTCAACACCCCATATCTCAAAAACGACGCGTTTGAAATTATAAGTTCATATGAATTTGTTCTATTATTTCAGCAAGTTCAACACACTGTTGAATTTTTCGTATTACAAACCGGACCACCCTGTAAATGGCTCATTCGCGACAAACATTTGATTTGGGAATAATTGAAAACAGATTTTTTTAAAACACAATTTATGTCACCTATTCTGGTGAATTATTAAACCTACCTACCAAAATGCGAACGAACAAGTAGTACTTACGGGAGAGGGTTGGAGGTGATGGTTGTGGATCAAACACTTTTTTTACGTTATCCTTATTAAGGCAATTCGAAATAAGCGACACTCCTTCTCGCAGATATTCAACTAACTAATAGAGAGTAAGTCATGGAAACCATCCATCCTTCTCAAAGTGGTCCAGATTTCTTCAAAGAAAAAACAAAATAACACCAAGTCGGTCGACTACAAGAACTATATTACACAAAATGTATTGTTTATGACTGGTCTCGGCTCGAACAGCCATCTTCAGACACATCAGTACACAGTTCCTGTGAAGATATTAATTTGCAGATATGGAAATCATATCATAAAATAAAATTGAATATTGAAGAGCCGTGGTTTTACCGGAAACGATCCCAACTTCCCATTTTTCAAAGGGACACCTTATTGTATCTTATTCTATAATCGGTTAGGGCTTATACCGGGTTTGATAGGGTTATGTCAAACGATGAAGAAGATATTCGCGTTCTCATATAGTATCCATATGCTCAATGAGTGTGACAGAGAAAGTAGTTTTGATATTGCGTCACACCTCATGAGTATGTGGAAATTTTGAACGCAAATATTTTCGTGATCATTTGAAATGATCCTCTCAAAGTCGGTATCGCTGAATTCGTCATGAATACAGGGTTTTACGTTTAGAAATCAAGAGTTGGGGTCGTTTCCGGTGAAACCGGAAGTGATAGAACTAACATTGTTTTGTCAATTGATGAGCAATTTAGTATTCTTGCTACCCACCAATTTTCCAAATTCGATCTCGAATGATTCAGAAGATATAGCACAGCACTAGCCGTTTTCGGTGCACGTTTCTGTATCTCAATACTATTTGGTAGACGTAAAAACTTCACAAACGGTAAGATTTCCACAAATTTTTAAACGCACGACATGTTTCGCTAACACAGTAGCTACGTCAGGTGATATACTGGTACAATGAACTAAACTAACGTTGGCTTGCTTAACTTTTATATAATTATCTTACTTTCCCAACCTGATGGATGAATTACCTGTGGACAGGTACGATAAACCTCCGTTTTCGGAAATCAGGCACAATATCTACATTAAATTACGGTATACCGGATTAACTTGAAAGAGTTGATATCAACTACATAGGTATTATTACTTATACTAAGAAAACAAATTCAACAGTGGTGAACTATTAAGGTCTAATTGATCATTAAGTAAAATGTAAAAATTTTTGAGTTTGTTGATTTCTAATGATTCAAAAAGATTGAGTTTCAGTCCTTTATTTTCTACGTGCAGAATTTCGAAATTACCATCAAAATTATGGTTTTCTTCTAATATATGGTTGGCGTATGTTGAATTTGTTTTCTTTTTCATAAAATTCATCTTATGTTCATGAATGCGCTGATTGAACGTACGACCTGTCTGACCGATATATACCTTAGGCCAAGATCCACATTTGAGTTTGAATACCCCTGATTTTTCGAATTTAGAAGTTTTGTTTTTATTATTCCTGATAAACCGTCCCAACGTGTTATTTGTTCTATATGTCACTTTTAAGTCCTGTTTATGTAGAAACCCTAATAACACACTTATGTCCCATGGATATCCTTAGGACGTCATGTCGGGACATTCTGGACGTCCATAGGACGTTCGAATTCGGTACCGTGGACGTCCATTGGACGTCTGTGGGACGCACAAATGTTCCACTTGAGGACCAACTAGGGACGTCCTTGAGGAATGTCCCTGGGACAACTATCGAATACCTTAATCTTACAGTATTCCTCATCGAGCACTACAGAGGACATCCTTAGGACATCCATAGGACAACCTATCAGCAACGCTGAGGGATATCGATTGGATGTCCATAGGATGTCCCAGGGACGTTCGAATTATTCTTGAAATTGAATTTTTCTAGGTCCCTCTAGGACCAGATCTTGCATAACTGATTAGGACATCCAGTTGGGTTGATGGTCCGTAGAAGGTCCCCAAAAAGTCTCCCAAGGATGTCCAATGGACTTACGTTAAGGACATTGACGAGGAGTACTTATAGCCTACGAGCAATCATTTGTTGGCGAGGTGTAAGTTAACGTCCTCGCAGGGACAACATATTGAAAGTACCGACTGGGACGTCCATAGGACGTTATTTCTAGGACATTGGAAGAGTACAGTTCATGTACCGATTGGGACATAGGATGTCCCTAAGGGACATTTCGATTGTTATACGATCCTGGAAATATTAAGGGCGTCTGTGCAGAGATATTTGAAGGAATGTACCACCAGAGAATGGTTGTCTAGAAGGGACATCACATAAGATCTGAAGTCATGCCAGAATATGTACTACTCAGGACATCCGATGGATGTCCCTGAAGGAACGTTTAAAATCATATCCCATCAGGGACAAGCCAAGGACGTCCTTGCATGGACATTCTACAATATGTACCACGTGGGACGTCTAAGGGATGCTATCTAGGACATTTGAAATGATGTACCAGCTGGGACATTCCGTGGACGTCCTTGCTCGGACATTGCATGAGATGTACGGGATGGGACGTCCCAAGGACACTTACTTTTGGTTCGGGACATTCGGACGTGAATTGTACCAAATAGGGACGTCCCTAGGACGTTGTGTGCTATTAGGGAAAATGAAGCTAATTTCTCAGTTGATATTTGGTACGATGTTTGAGGTATTCTTTTCTCAATTGCAGGATTAATTGAAGCGACTGTGGCATCAGGCGTGTTCCAACCTGAGGCGCTTATGCATCTCTCTGTGCTGGGCAATATCAAGATATGCAATGAATTCTCTCTTATGACATGCAACCATACTCTCCATACCAAAGGTCTCCAAAAGCTGATCGATTATCCAAAAGATTTCCAATTTGATCTGATTATTTTAGACCTTACTGTAACGCCTTGTTTCTTACCATTGATTGAAAGGTTCAATTCACCTCCTGCTATCGTGATATCTGCAATGATACTACCACCCGTTTTGTCGGAATTATTCGGAAACAGCTTCCCAGTATCATATATACCGTATATTTTGTTGAAGAATACGGCTAGAATGAATTTTTTGGAGAGATTGAATAATTTCATCTTCTACGAAATTGATCTTTATTGGAAAGCTTACTCGTTTTCTACCATGGAACAGATGTCGAGAAGGGTATTCGGAGAAAACATGCAGAGTTTGGATGCCCTGGGTAAGAAACCAACGTTTCTCTTGTGTAACTTGAGCCCAGGATTCCACTATTCTCAACCACTTACGCCTAATGTCATCCCTGTGGGTGGACTGCATATCGACACTAAGAAAAAACTCCCCCAGGTAAGATTATTTTAGAAGCACTGTAGGAATGTATTGGATATCATGGACTATCGCTTGAATGATGAATTATGGGCACATACGTTTTTCAACGTTGTATTTAGTATTCACGTACCTATAACAGTTTCTGTTTGATAAGTTCAACGTTAAAATTATGTTTGGAACATTTCCTTCACGACGCCACTGTTTCCATCAGGATGAATTATTTGTAAATAATATGTAACTTGATGTTAATACAGGGTGAGTCATGTGAGTCAAGGTGAGTAGACATATATGTGGAAACATATATTCTGCATATTCGTAACAGAATTACAGGGCATTATTTGAATTCAGGGCAATACTATGACGAACGATATTTCAATTAACTTCTACTGACACTCCGCACGATTACCTACTATGGAAGAAAAAATTCCGGAGCCAAACTTAGAAAACCCATTTACTTTTCAAACGTCAGAATTCCGCCTTCTGAATACTATTCTTCAAAAACTCTCATCAGAATCAGGAAGATCAGGAAAAACACTACAAGTGTAGCTTTTTCATTTGTACCTCACACTTCGACCGGATTGGTGAAAAAATATCAAACAAAATTCTGATGAATATTTCTCCGACTTCGTCTGGGCCATTCCTCATTACTTTCGACTAAAAGTATTCAAATCAGTTTTTTTTTGCATATGATATAGCAGCAGAGTTGAGGAAAGGTATTTAAAAAAAATAAAGAACGGACTTGGTTTTTGGAAAGGATTATAAAACATAATTTTCGAAAAATTGTCTGTGTCCTAATATTTTTCAACGAATATTCTCGAAATGTCCTCCAATTTCTCTACATTTTCTGTATATCCTCGGAAGATCTCTTATGGTTTTTCGAATAATTTGGCTATTATTCCTGATCATATATGAAGCTGTAATAATCCTCTCCCTCAATTCCTCTCTGGTGTTGACTTCAGTCTAATAGACCAATCGTTTCGAATGTTTACATAGATAATAGTCTAATACTGTGAGATAAGGGGACCTAGGGGGCCAAGAACAAGGGCCGCCACGACCTATCCAGCGATTAGAGAATTGTTTGTCTAGGTATTCTCTCACTTGTTTTGAGTAATGTGAAGGTGCCCCATCCTATTAAGAGATAATACCTATTTCGATCCGTTTGCATATATCCTTGCATCACAGGCTTCTTCTGTAGTATTTTCTGAATGAAGAAAACATGCCAAACTCACAATTTGATTCGTTGATTGAGAGAGTTCACATGCAATGAGATCATATTCAATATAACCTCAAAATTTCTTATTTGCATGAGTTGTAACGTATATCTGATTCAGAAAACATATTTTACCTGAGCAATGATTTTTCATATTTTTTTATCTCTTGGAGCGCACGGGAGGAAATTCCTGTAATGTTCGGAGAACGTCGTGCGTACCTAGAGAGGATAGGGAGAGGAGGTATAATGGTATTGGATTTCCTTTTTGAAATTAGGTAAGTACTTATTTCCATGTTTTGAAAGTTCTTTTCAAGAAAAAACATTCTGGTCCGATGTGACCACAATAGCCTGTACGATATCATGAAATCGATTATCAGTAGGAATAGGCAGAATATAATTTTTTCAACTCACCTTCACTTCCTTTATCTGCCATCAGGCCTGGTTAGTCATATGACTCACCCTGCAGTATTCATGGCCGAACTTTAATGATGCCATTGATTTCAGGTGATTCTTTGTCATTTTTCATGAAAAAAAGTTCATATAAACGTGGTCTCTAACTTGCTTCCTTTCCTAGTGACGAGGTGTCATAGTGTTACCATAATCAAACAATGTCTTCGTTACAAGTTTACCTATATCGTTGAAAGACTCATACTAACAGATACTCCAACTTTCGATCATATCAAAAAAGGAATGATCAAATTCCTTCATATGATGGAGCAAAATCAATATCGTCTGACCAACAATAAATTTGCAATAACGAAATCCACCACATTAAAAATGTTCCTCAACTCAACTCCAATTCAATGAACTTGATTGATAGAACGATTCACCAAATTGAAAACAAACAAGATGCACCACAACAAAAACAATCAACAATAACGACAAATATGATTCCATACATTCCCGGCATATCTCAGAAAACGAAATGTGTTCGTGATAACTTTCAAATCAAATTGTGTTCAGAATTTAAAATACAGTGAGATCAATTCTAACTCAGACAAAGCCGAAAAACTGAGAAAAAACATTATGTGTGTGTTTGTGGAAGGCATTATACAGGTGAAACAAGGAAAAAGAACATAAGCATAACTCATTCATAATATGATAATATGTTACTGAGAAGTGTCATACTAACAAGACCAATTTCAAAGAAACATATTAATCATTCCAGAATTACGTCATTTGACAGGTTGCTGAGGGGCAAACATTGTATTTTGTCAAGATTTGTCATATAAAACCAGAATAAGTGGGATCGTTTCCCTTGGAATCCGAGTTGGAACCAGAAATAATTCATAATTTTGTTTGGTGAAACTGTTATTATATTGTGGATGTGGCAGGGATGGCCAGGGCTGAGCTCATCAAAGGTAACCTTACAGATAGTTTGTGTGCCCCTCAAGAAACCATGTCAAAATCACGTGTTCTAGAATGATCAATTTTTGCATCTTTGATGGAAGCGAATTCGTTCCAGAAACGTCCAAAGTGAAGTAAAACTTCGATATTTTTTCAATACTTATACCTATATTCCTTTTCTCCGAATATTAAAAAAAAAGTTTCACTGACAAACGATTGGTTTTTCTGAAGAATGTTTGAACGCAGTGACATTTTGGAGCAAATCATCTGATTTGTCCTACTACACCTATATTTAAATGATAAACATATTTTCATTTTGTAGAAACGAGGAGATAAAATCCTAAATAATCTAGCAAAATAAAAAACAATTATTGTCTTCGAATAAATAAGTCGAAAATGTTGATAAAACGTTTAATTGAGATCGACGACAGAATCAAGGAATAATTTATGGTTACTGATGAAGTGGAAGGAACCATACTAGGAGAAGAGCTGGATTCCAAAACAAAATATTTCCAACTGCGGAGTAACCAGATGTCTCTGAAACTACAAATATGCTTATTGGATTTTGTTAGGTCAGGTTACGCTTCGGACTGTAGGTGTCGTTGCGTTTACCAGGCTAGATCGAAATTAATCGGCATCAAGGAAAGAAACACTTGCATTTGTATTCGTTTATACTTATCGATGCATGAATTTCGGTAGGATGTAATCCAATATGGTGGCCTGTTCAATAATTCTATGAACTTTCTACAAACAACACAAAACACAATTCTGAAAATAATTTTGAAAAAATCTAGACTATTTGCAACCAAAGATCTATACAGAGAAACTGGAATTTTGAAAACTAGAGAACTTTACATTCACCACTGCCTGATTTGGATTTTCACAAACAAACACAAATTCGAACCTAGTAACGTGATGAAGGAAACAAGATCTGTCATGAAAGCTTCAATCAAAATACCCATTTTCAAAAAGAGTCACACTCAAAGAGTAATTTTCTATTACGGTCCCAAGTTATTCAACCTATTGCCTACAAGTATCAAGATAATTACTAAACTTCCGCATTTCAAAAAAGAAATAAAAAAATTCATTTCAGATAAACCAGAGATTTCAGACATTTTCAATTGATCTTACAGTCGCTCTCCTTTTCTCATTTCTTCTAACATATTATTTCCCATTTCTCTTCCTGTTCTATGGTATTACTATTGTATTTATATTATATTAGGAAAATATATTAGTACAAGTTCATAATTTTCTCCACGATGGTTGGAACAGAGCACAACACAAGCATCCTGAATGCTTAGGTGTATCTGTTCCTACCTGACTGGTTTTCCAAAGAATAAGTTATCCACAAATTGTTACTTGTAACTGTTGCTATTGCTGAATAAATTGAAATTGAAATTGAAATTGAAATTGAAATTGAATATCCTGGGTGGCATTAGCTAGGAGAGTAGTTGTTCTTCTCCCGTCATTTACCATCGTTGTTCATTTCATGAACATTCGTGGAAATAACTTTGAGCTTTTTTGTATTTATGATTTTTTAATGAGAGAAATAATGGGGAAGGACAACAAGGACAGACTATTAAATCACCATATTGCAACTTCCACAAGAGAAATTGGAATTCAAGAACTTTGATGGGAATGTAGAGAAAGCTGGATAGGATTCTGGAGCCAATTTGAGTGCACGAAGAAACAGAAATAGCCGAAGAGGACAAGTCCCAAATCCTGATTCAAGCTATAGTAGAAGATTTAGCATCCAGGGATTTAGTGGAGAGTTTTTCTTCCTCTGCAGCCAACAGAATTAAAATAAGTCTATACATCTAATCACCGAATCGAAAGTAGGCGTTTGCTCCCTCATTCGAGGACACGAAGCTGACAATTTACTCCCACGGGAAAAAACAAGTATTAACTCCGAGGAAGGTAAAATAAATTGGCTTCAGCATGCTTGGCAGATATATACCTATACTTATAATCACTATCATAAAACGAATAACATTTTTTTTTATGAATTCCAATTGCGATCTCATATACTTCCTCTTATTCCAAACTTACTTAATCATTACTTCCGAATGTAATAACACAATAAACAAATTCATTATGACGAAAGTGTCAAACTGATTTCCATGAGTAGTATCACGATGTTCTTAATATCCTAGATAATTATGTCGCTCCATAGTTCACGAAATGGTGTTGCTGTATACGGTATAACACAATTGAATAAACAATGAAATACAAAATTATGAGGAGATATTCAGAACAGTGAGGTATTTCGCGCGACTATTTCACGTTCACGAAGCATAAAAAGCATTTATTATAAATGAGTGATTTATTCTGACAAATACAGTATGCTTATTCTATGCCAAAATGACAGACTTTGCTTCGGTATCTGGCTTGTGAGATTGATACATGAATAGCTACTATTTGGTTTTTGGATGGTGAGAGCGAATAGGTACTGAAAGAACTG